CTGAATCAAATGTTGAAGTTGTTTCATCTGAAAAGCAATGATTAAAAATTGTTGTCACCGTTAGGACAAAAGCTTTAGGACAATGATAATTGCAAACGATTAATCAATTTGTCGTTACGAAAATCAAACTAGCTACCTCTAATCAGAGATAAACAATTATTGAAAATATTATTAAGAATATATATAAACTTTATCAAATAAAGAAAACCAAAAAAGAGCATTTTTCGTGCAGTTATCAACTACAACGTAAAAGTGCATTAATAAAAAATCCTTTTATGTTTGACAATAACTTAAAAGCAGAAATTTAGGTGCATTTTTAGTCTAAAAAGAAAGGAAAGAGGATAGATTGACCAAGCTCTCAAAATAAGTTAAAATATGTTTAGGGATAACTCATATTCATTCTTAAAACAAGTGGTGCTCTCTCCTCGATTAGCCCAACTACTCAGAGAGTCCCTCCTCAAGGAATTCCCCTTCATACAATTTGATATGTAGGCTATTATTTCTCTGTTGTTTTTAGATTTGTGTTTAATTTGTATTGTGTGTAGTATTGTATTAATGTAACTGATAAATTGTATGTAGTTGAATTTTTAAAATAGGAGACGGAAACTAAAAAATAAGAGTTGTCCTGAAAAGCAAGTTCGAAACTTTTTTTAATATCTTCCTAATCATGCATTAACATTTCCAATGATACGGATCTAACTAGCCGGAGGTTTTAGCATATTTCTTTTAACTGTCCTTTCTGAATGTTGATGACACCGTATCAAAAAAGGTAATGAATTTGAAAATGTAAGGAAACGTAGGTTAAATTTTTTGTGGCATTCCAATTGCATACTCATTTGATGAATTACGTAGTCACTCTACCACTGGGATTTTTCTTCTAATAAAATCAGTACCAGATCGATTTGTGGTTGACGCCAGTAGAAACTGGCGATGAACAAGAACATATCGTGGGGATTTCTTCATTTTCAATAAGAATTAGGAAGGACTTCTGGAACTAATTCGATGATATCAGCCAATGAATTGTTTGATTTGACGGATGGAGGCTCCCTACAAGGACCGAAACTCGTGAACGTTTTCTAAAGCGAGTTGAGACTCTTGGAGGGGAAAAAAGGTTAACATGTTGCAACAGTACCTTTGAGACGAATGGTCAGGTAAGGTTTCGATCTATCTTGCCATGCTGCTGTCCAAGGCGTGATACCTGCAGGAAACCCTGTAGGCGTCCAGGCAACAGATCCTAGCTCAAATCGACTGACGCTTGACTGGAAAATCGCTGTAAACAGTGTAAAACGGAGAAAGGCTAAGAAACTGGCAAAACACATCGCAAATTTCAAGGGAAACGCTAATGTTTATGCAACTGCAAACGTTTAGGGCCTGAAATTACGGCATAATTAATTTGGCATAATCGTTGATATTGTCATAATCTACCGAGAATAAAATTGTCACGGTCGTGGAGCTATCTGAACTTTGATAAGCATCACAACACCAAGTGCTGTATTTTTACTTAACACCACTGTGGATTTGACAAAAAAGTCGAACTATCACATGTGAGCCCATTTGCAAAGAAAATCAATTCGGAAGTGACGTACCAGCATTACTCGTGCTCAGACCTCTAGACGCTCTCCAAGGAACCTTATCCAAGAAAATTCTTTTCACGGCCTCTGTAACGGAGATCCATTCACTTTCGTTTTGTAGCCGCAGTTCACCAATGAAGTCTAGAATACTATCAGACATCACCAAACCATCTACTGAAATACAAAATACAGAAAAGAATATTACCAACTTGACAGATAAGACATGCAGCGAAGTTACAGAAGTTTAACCACATCTAGCTAGTAAAAGCAAACAAAGAAATCAATTCAAGGGTCCCACTTGAAAAAACATCAAGCAAAGCAAAGACAATATAACACAGGCACTACATGACAAACTAAAGCAAATAAAGAAAAATGTTTTATTTTGCATTCAGGCTTGTGGACGTTAATTTCCAAAATAATTTAAAAAATCATAAAGGATCCTTTGCATAACAAGTGTTATTCAAAGCCAGCCAACTATTGCTTAGGATATGCAGCTATCTAGCAAAAGAATTTATTCCTGCACCTATAACAGGCTCTCACAAATGTTTAAAGTACTTTCAAAGGTCACTAGCATACCATCAGAAAAGCCCCAGCCATAACCTGCGGCAACTGCAATGATTAGGGTGCAGGAATCTAGAATTAAAAGCATCAAGTCAAAGTTTATAGAAAAGTGGAAACAATACTTCAGTTCAGATTCTTGCAAATAATTAAAGAAGTTTTGTTTACCAATGTATGCTAAAGGCAACATATAGATTTGATGTCGCAGAAATTTACACTAGTTGCCAGGTACCGCGTAAAAAGCGTTCTTGAAAAGTCTCTGAAACATTAGATGTCTCTGTAATTTTGACATTTTCGACATTTTATGAGGTCATTAGTAATTGTTTTTGTTTGAGTATTGTAATGAACCGACCGGCAAGGAGAAAGATAAGTAAATTCTGATTCAGTGCCTATCGCGCGCAGTTGTTGTTAAGGCTATGTACATACAACCATAGAATTTTATCACCAAAATTTAAAAAAACATTTTACTCGCATCATTTGTTAACAATTAATTATATATATATATGAAATAATGAATTAGAAAATCTCCTTTGTCCACAGTGTGCATCATTCAAACAAAATGTATACAAATACAGTAAAGATTACTGTATAGCAAATGTTTCTGATGGAAACCTTGCCTACACTTATCACAATCTCAAAGCATACTCGTCACCCAGTTACGCGACAAAGTGCCTTCAGGACCTAAGACTAGAAGGTTAAGACTTAAAAAACAGACTGACATATGACAGCAGATGCTAACAAGAGCAATAGTTTCAATTCTATCACCATAACATTTGAGCTAAACATCCTCTTGTTTCTAAATAAACAAAACAAAATTTTCTTTATAAATACTAGGAAAATAAAACTAAGTTATATACCATGTATGGTTTCTCCACCCACCCACAAAACAACGATGTTTGCCTTTGCAATTATCATCGGAAAGGTTATATCAGAACAGACACCTTCCTGTTGAGAGTCGCTGATACTAGGAGCAGAAGGGTGTTAAGGGCATTGGAGGTTCCCTACCCTTTATGTAGAGAAGAGTCATGTTTTGTCGTATACCTTGTTTTGTTGAAACTTGGGGGTATCCCCCTTTGGTCACTACCATAAGATAAGCATTCGTAATATGAATAGGTCAGGTGTGCATGTTTAGTTTCACTTTAGGACAAATAATCCTGTCATCTTAAGGGGCGGGAGTGCACTTTTAAATATACCAATATGGGAACAACCAATAACAAAGTTTGTTAATGTCTAATTTCTACTACTTATGGATGGCTCGGAAATTTTCACCCCACGTATGACTTGTTGTCTTGCGTTTCCTTGGATAGCTATTTGCTTTCTGAAAGAACACAAAATAGAGCGAAAAAGACCCTATCTTGCTTGATTATTTAATTTTGTTTTCTTGGCTGACAAAAGACAATAGTTGAGAAACATATGAAAAGTTATTAGAATGCTAAGCATTGCCCGCAACGCAGCAGCAAGAGAAATCGAATTCGCTTCATTAAAAGATAACGTTCAGTTCAAATATGAGCAAGCAGCTATTTTGAAAAGCAAAAACAGAAGACAAGTCGAGGAGTAATATATCATGGCAAAATATGGTGCCCCTCCCCCAAAACCAAAACACCGTTAAGTTCATGCTTCATAGCCCGTTCCGCATAAAACTGCTTTCTAGCATGCCCTCAATTTTTGGATGAACCCATTTTGGAAAAAGACTTAAATGCTAGTCCCCATCTATAACGCAAATATCTTAGCGATAATTACTGCCCAACAACGAAGAAATAATTTGTTATTTGCTAAAACGTCCTTGTACGTATAACATATCACGAGGTCGTACCATCGTGAATACTTCGATTTGTTGTTTCACATATATACTACAATTATATACAATTATATTCTTGGCCTAATTGGAAGTTATGCTTGAACCGTAACATAAATTATTCCCAGCGTCATGAGATAAACCTTGGGTCAACCCATTAATGCATGCCACCTAACGCATCCTTGGCCATTTAGCAATCTAAAATTTAAAAGCTAGGTCCACTGAAAATGCTTCACTAAAATATCCATAGCTAGATGATACAGTTGACTTATGACAATCCATAAATATTAACATGGACGTTCTATATTCTGATTAAATAATGTAAATAATCTGATCTTACTTAAATTATATTTAATTTGTTTAAAGTCACTGTCTCATTGAACTTTGAGCATACTCGCCTGGGCAGGTTTTTCTATACAATATCAATAGGTCTTGGTCTAGGAGCCTTAAATCTTGATGGTCAGTCACCAAGGGAAGCGGTGGAAATTACAATAGGTATACGAGCCATTGACTCCTCGTGCTTGGAATTACAAAAAGGCATCGTTTCGTTTGGAAACACCAAGGAGACTACTGTGTTCCGAGTTTGCGTGAAGTCGCAATATCGCGGTACCTGCACATCGAGACACAGCACCCCCCGTGCATTTCGGAAACGATACCCTTGTTTCCAGAAATATGAAACGAGGACATGTTGCACAACCACTGCTGACTGAACAATCACTTAGATACATTAGGGTGACGTCACAAACTTTCATAAATTCTAATGCTTGTTCAATAGCTGCCACAAAGGTTAGGAGCTCGCTTCTGCACTGTTCAACAGGATAATAAATACTGTGTCCACAAAAAATAGAATAATATAGTACATTACATATCAACGGTTTAACAAGTTTATCACCTAAGATCTAATAAGGTAAAAATGAACTTAAATGAGTTGTGTTTTATATGTCGGGTTTATGTGTCTAGTGTTTGACGTCATTGAGTTAAAAAATAAACAAATCAAGATATTGTAATCAATTAGGCAGAATCAATCAACGTGAAAAGGATATGATTAGTGCTATAGATCAACAATAACAATTTTTTTTTACTCGAAACAACCTAAAAAGCCTCAAGATACGTTCTGAACGCCATTTCGGGTCATTTGGTGAAATTTATGCTGATATTTTGAAAATAAGGAGTTGGTGATTTTTGAAAAAATTCATGACCCCGGACATGCAAAAAAGTTGAAAAATCTTGAAAATTTTTTTTACTCGAAACAACCTAAAAAGCCTCAAGATACGTTCTGAACGCCATTTCGGATCGTTTCGGTGAAATTTATGCTGATTTCTTGAAAATAAGGACTTTGTGATTTTTAAAAAAATTCATGACTCCGGGCCAGCGAAAAAGTTGAAAAATCTTGAAATTTTTCAAAAAATTTTTTTTACTCGAAACAACCTAAAAAGCCTCAAGATACGTTCTGAATGCCATTTTGGGTCGTTTCGGTGAAATTTATGCTGATTTTTTGAAAATAAGGACTTTGTGATTTTTGAAAAAAATCATGACCCCGGACCTGCAAAAAAGTTGAAAAATCTTGAAATTTTTCAAAAATTTTTTTTTACTCGAAACAACCTAAAAAGCCTCAAGATACGTTCTGAATGCCGTTTCGGGTTGTTTCGGTGAAATCTATGCTGATTTTTTGAAAAGAAGGAGTTGGTGATTTTTGAAAAAATTCATGATCCCGGACCTGCAAAAAAGTTGAAAAATCTTGAAATTTTTAAAAAAATTTTTTTTACTCGAAACAACCTAAAAAGCCTCAAGATACGTTCTGAATGCCATTTTGGGTCGTTTCGGTGAAATTTATGCTGATTTTTTGAAAATAAGGACTTTGTGATTTTTGAAAAAAATCATGACCCCGGACCTGCAAAAAAGTTGAAAAATCTTGAAATTTTTCAAAAAATTTTTTTTACTCGAAACAACATAAAAAGCCTCAAGATACGTTCTGAATGCCATTTCGGGTTGTTTCGGTGAAATCTATGCTGATTTTTTGAAAAGAAAGAGTTGGTGATTTTCGAAAAAATTCATGATCCCGGACCTGCAAAAAAGTTGAAAAACCTTGAAATTTTTCAAAACTTTTTTTTTACTCGAAACAACCTAAAATGCCTCAAGATACGTTCTGAACGCCATTTCGGGTCGTTTCGGTGAAATTTATGCTGATTTTTTGAAAATAAGGAGTTGGTGATTTTTGAAAAAATTCATGACCCCGGACCTGCAAAAAAGTTGAAAAATCTTGGAATTTTTCAAAAAAATTTTTTTACTCGAAACAACCTAAAAACCTCAAGATACGTTCTGAACGCCATTTCGGGTCGTTTCGGTTAAATTTATGATGATTTTTAGAAAATAAGAAGTTGGTGATTTTCGAAAAAATTCCTGACCCCGGACCTGCAAAAAAGTTGAAAAAGCTTGAAATTTTTCAAAAATTTTTTTTACTCGAAACAACCTAAAAAGCCGCAAGATACGTTCTGAACGCCATTTCGGGTCGTTTTGGTGAAATTTATGCTGATTTTTTGAAAACAAGGACTTTGTGATTTTTGAAAAAAGTCATGACCCCGGACCTGCAAAAAAGTTGAAAAATCCTGAAATTTTTCAAAAAATTTTTTTTACTCGAAACAATTTAAAAAGCCTCAAGACACGTTCTGAACGCCATTTCGGTTGTTTTGGTGAAATTTATGCTGATTTTTTGAAAACAAGGACTTTGTGATTTTTGAAAAAAGTCATGACCCCGGACCTGCAAAAAAGTTGAAAAATCTTGAAATTTTTCAAAAAATTTTTTTTACTCGAAACAACCTAAAAAGCCGCAAGATACCTTCTGAATGCCATTTCGGGTTGTTTCGGTGAAAATAATTCTGATTTTAGGAAAATAAGGACTTTGTGATTTTTAAAAAAATTCATGACTCCGGGCCAGCGAAAAAGTTGAAAAATCTTGAAATTTTTCTAAAAATTTTTTTTACTCGAAACAACCTAAAAAGCCTCAAGATACGTTCTGAATGCCATTTTGGGTCGTTTCGGTGAAATTTATGCTGATTTTTTGAAAATAAGGACTTTGTGATTTTTGAAAAAAATCATGACCCCGGACCTGCAAAAAAGTTGAAAAATCTTGAAATTTTTCAAAAATTTTTTTTTACTTGAAACAACCTAAAAAGCCTCAAGATACGTTCTGAATGCCATTTCGGGTTGTTTCGGTGAAATCTATGCTGATTTTTTGAAAAGAAGGAGTTGGTGATTTTTGAAAAAATTCATGATCCCGGAC